CCCGAAGGGAAGGGCAGCTTACGCGAGCCCACGCGGGAGCTTGAGCGCTGGAGCCAGGCGTCCAGTGTGGCCTGCTCACTGCCTGACTCCTCGGCCTTCTTGAGGAGGAATTTCTTGGTCAGCCAGTTAATAGCTGTGGACGCCTTGCTAAGTGACTGGGCACGAGGCTTCAGGCGGCCATAGCCGCGCCGTCCCGGGAAGCGGATCACCATGAACGAGGGCTTCTTTCCCTTCATTGCCCGCTTCTTTTTGCCCACACGCATCTGTGTCATGAGCTTGGATGTGGACTTGAGTACAGTACGGGCCTTCTTCTTGCGTTTGGTCTTCTGCGGACCAGTGTGGAGGCCCCAGAAGAAGGCCGATGCACTCCGGAACTGACCCTTCTTGGAGATCTTGGGCGTGCGGTCTCGGAAGCCCATGAACAGCCGAGATGTACCCTTCAGACTCCTTTTGGGTTTCTCCGGCTCCGGGGCCTTCTTGCCCTTCTTTCCTTTCTTAGCTTTCTTCTCCTCATCTTCCTCTTTCGCCATGGTGGCCTCTGTGCCCGATGGGCCTGGGGTAGGTGTCACAGGTTCAGGAACTTGTAGGCACTGCTTGGAGACCAGCTAGGTCTTCTTGCTTGTGACTGGACCTAAGACTCTTTGGTGTCTGAGCAGCTGGGACTCTCTGGGTGGCATGGAGAGGGAGGATCCATAATTCATCCTCTAGACTAGCCTTGGGTTTCACTTTTGAGAGGTGGTGGAAAGTGCTTGGGTGTTGTTTTCTAGTGGGGGTAGACTGGGAGGCCTGTGCTGGGGCAGCAGCCTGGCTTTAGAGTCACCATGGCAACAACTTGCTGACTCTGGCCAAGCCCTCCTGTGTCCCAGCTGGCTAAGCTCCAAGGAGAATGGTTGCTTAACAGAGAGGGACATTAATCTCCAGAGGGGGACATCATCTGCCCTAGACCCCCTGCATGGTCCCAAAGTAGAGACAGGTCTCCTGAGGCCAGGGCAGGATGGCCACAACCCACCACATCACCTTGGAGGGGAACTGGAAGTGAGAAGCAGGTGTCCAAGGCTGTGGCCAGTGTAACAGGAGCTGGCTGACTCTGGGGAGCTGAATAATGCATCATGGAGAGCCCGGCTGCTGCCTCAAAAAGCAGGGCAGGGTGAGCATCTCGGCAGGTCATGGGGAGGGGGAGGGCACTGAGGAGCAAAAATGGAGCACGCCCCAGCTCTCCAACACTGCCATTGATGATGTAGCCTCAGGAAAGTCCTTAGCCCTCTCTAGGCCGTGGCTTCCTTTTCTGTAGAATGGGAGTGACAGGAAGAAGTAGTGCCTACTGGAATTACTGGGTAGTTTAAGAGGCAGCAGGGGCCTCTTGGCAGTTCGTTACCACCCGCAGACCAGTGCTATTGGTGATGTGGAGCCAGGAGGCTCATTACTGCCCAGGATCTGATCCACAGGGATTTACGAAGTCTGGAGGAGGAGGAGAGAGAGGAGAGGAAGAGGAAGAGGTGGAGGATGAATGTCAGATAGCTAATTAGGCACAGGAGGCTTGGGGACTGTAAGAATGGACTCCACACACACCAGTTTTGAATTCCATGTCTTATTTCCCTGTAACATAGTAATTTTTAGAAGGTACAATATCACAATTGACTTTAGAACTTAAAATGCTTGTAGAAGGTGGGAGGAGGCATCCCAACTCCCCTTAAAATTTAAAGTACCATATGAAAGAGAGAGAGGTACAGACAGATAGCCAGGCCTACTGAGGGAAAGCTATTTCTCCCTGGTAAAATGTGACTAATGTCAGGCCTCTCTATGTAATTCTGGCTGTCCTGGAACTCTCCATGTAGAGCAGGCTGGCCTTGAACTCACTGAGATCCTCGTGAGCACGACAGAAACAATCACACACTATACAAAGGCCATGGAGGCAGTGTGCCATTGAGTTTCTGACCTTCCTGGTCCTGGCTCACCTCTTCTCTCGGGAGTGCTTTCTTTCCTAATAAACTATCTCTTCACCCACCATTATCCATGTGTCCTGGTCCAATTGTTATTATTATTTTTTATATGTATGTGTGATGTGGTAGGGTAGGGAATAGGCTGAAGGGATGGTGGTTGAGGATTTGCTACTGCCGAGAGCCTGGAACACCAGTGCATGCCCATTAGACCCTGATATTCACTGATGGTAGTTGGTGCAGCATCAGCCAGAAGGTAAGATTTATTTTTCTTTCCATCCTCCCTTCTTTTGTCCCTCCCAGGTTTTTTTTTTCTTTCTGATAGCCCAGGCTGGCCTCAAATTACATAACCAAGGATGACTTTGAACTTTTGATACTTTTCTGCCTCTCAGGTATTAATAACACAAGCAAATGTGACCCTGAACCCAGCTCTATGTGATGCTGGTGACTAAGCCCAGGACTTCATGCATGCTGAGTGAGCATTCTACCAGTGTAGTCATGTCCCTCACCCAAGGCTTATGTTTTTAGTTTTATTTTTTTAATTTTTACTTATTTAATTTTGTATGTGTGGGTGTTTTGCCTGTATGTGTGTGTGTGTGTGTGTCGCGTGTGTGTGTGTGTGTGTGTGTGTGTGTGTGTGTGTGGTGCCTATAGAGGTCAGAAGAAGGCATTAGATTCTTTGAAACTAGAGTTATAGATGGTTGTGAGCTGTCATGTGTGTTTGTGGAACTGTACTCAGGTCCTCTGGAAGACCAGCCAGTGCTCTTTACTGCTGAACCATCTATCTAGCCTGTTCCTAATTTTTAAAAACTTTCATTCTGGGGTGACTTTTTGTTTTCAAGAACAAAAAGGAAACCACTAGATGAAGAGACATAAAAATTATTGGCCACCTTTAATCCCAGCACTTGAGAAGCAGAGGCAGGTGGATCTGTGAGTTTGAGGCCAGCATAGTCTACATAATGAGCTCTAGGACAGCCAGGGCTATGTAAAAAGACCCTGCCTAAAAAAAAAAAAAAAAAAAAGTTATTTGCAAGCCAAGCATAGGCTGTTAGTGTAGGCCATTAATTCCAGCAATCAGGAGGCAGAGGCAGAGGCAGGAAAATCTCTGTGAGTTTGAGACTTGCCTGGTCTATACAGCTAGTTCTAAGCCAGCCAGGACAATATACCTTAGTCTCAACCTTGTCTAAAGGAAAAACAAAGTTATTGGCACAAAATATGGCTTTGGTAAAAAAAAAATAAGGAAAATCTTTTAAGATGCAAAAGGATTTTAAATGTCAGTCTTGTTCTCCAATATCATTCTAAAATGGTAGTATACTGGTGGGATGAATAAGCAGTTAAGAGCACTGACTGGCTGGGCGTTGGTGGTGCACGCCTTTAATCCCAGCACTCGGGAGGCAGAGGCAGGCGGATCTCTTGTGAGTTCAGGCCAGCCTGGTCTACAAGAGCTAGTTCCAGGGCAGCCTCCAAAGCCACAGAGAGACCCTGTCTCGAAAAAGTCAAAAAAAACAAAACAAAACAAAAACAACAACAACAACAACAAAAAACAAGAGCACTGACTGGCTGGGCAGTGGTGGCACACACCTTTAATCCCAGCATTTAGGTAGAAGCAGGCAGATCTCTGTGAGTTCCAGGCCAGCCTGGTCTACAGAGTAAGTTCCAGGACAGCCAGGACTGTTATATAGAGGAAACTTGTCTCAGAAAAACAAAAACAAAAACACAAACAAAAGCACTAACTGCTCTTCCAGAGGACCTGGATTTGATTCCCAGAATCCACATGGCAGCTCAAATTATATGTAACTCCAGTTCAAGGGGATCTAACACCTCTTCCAGCCTCCATAGGCACCAGGCACATATGTGTGCACAGACACACATGCAGGCAGATGCCCATACACACGAAATAAAATGGAAGTATAAAAAAGGAAAAAACAAGCTGGGCAGTGGTGGCACATGCCTTTAATCCCAGCACTCAGGAGGCAGAGGCAAGCAGATCTCTGTGAGTTCAAGACAAGCCTGGTCTACAAGAGCTAGTTCTAGGACAGCCTCCAAAGCCACAGAGAAACCCTCTCTTGAAACTCTCCCCCCCAAAAAGGAGAAAACATATTGTAGAAGGTGGAAATAAGTCATGAGATGGACAGTACACATACGATTATGTTCACTGTAATCAGAGGTATTAAAATGCTCCCTGAGGTCAGATATTGCTAGATGCTTATTTCTATAGCCAATCTGTTCCAGACAGTGGGAAGAACTGCAAAAGGAGTCATCAGAGCCCTAGACATTCCAAGTTGACTTTAAAATTTTTTTGTGGGGGGTTGTTGCCATATAAAGGTCCAAAGACCTAGAGGAATCTATGGATAGATACAAGAACAAGCACTACCGATATGCTGAGCCTCCATTCTGTGCCTAATTAGTGACGCTATAACTTTATATGTTGGCTTTCCTCATTATTTTTCTGTAGGCATAGCTGGTTTAATATGTACTCAATGACTATGTCATCATACTATTTTGCTTTTACTCTATTTCACCATTGGATTCTTAAATTTTTTTAAATAGTTCTTGGGACTGAAGAGGTGGCTCAGTCATTAAGAACACTGGCTGCTCTTCCAGTGGACCTGGGTTCAATTCCCAGAACCCACATGGTAGCTCACATAGTCACATGCTCACATGTCAACATAGGCTTTTAGGAACATTTCACTAATGTGAAAAAAAAGAAAGGAATAGAAGAACAAACAGAAATTGCCACGAGAATTACAGCCCAATATTTTTCTCTGGGTGAGAGTTCCAGGAGACCTCCTCCTCCTTCTCACAACTCTGGTTCTTGGGATCTGACACCCTCTTCTGACCTCCATGGATACCAGATGTGTAGATAGTGCATAGACATAATCAGATAAAATAGTAAAAAGTCTAAGGATCTCATTGTCAGGAGCAAGTTACACAGTGATGGCACTGACATGGGGGAATGATGGTCGTTGCTTTCCTGGGCTCTTGTCTTTTCTAGGGTCACTGGTTGGCAGAATTGTTATTTTTGTTTAGACCTAGTATTCCTAGCCTTCTTGTAAAATTTGTGTTTCCTAGTATTCAAGTTCCAAACTAAACTCTTTGTGATACAAGGATTCCAGCCAATTTCTACTACATGGGATGCAAAATTTTCCTATAACAGGGAGTCTCAGTGTCCCTCCTAGGCAGGCACTGTGTCCCTCATCAGCATGTAGGACCTATAGAAAACAAAAGCTTTTAACTTGGCAGTTAGAAGCATTTGTAGCAGAGGACCTGGGTTTCCTTCCTAGCAACCACATGGGTGCTCACAACCATTAGTAACTCCAATTCCAGGCAATCTAATCCCCTCTTCTGGCCGCTGCTCTCAGGGGATGGTTATGGCAAGACACTAGGCAAAGACTGAAGTAAAAAAAAAAAAAAAAAACCCACATTAAGATGTCAGACTTGGCTAGATGGTGATGGCACATGTCTTTAATCCCAGCATTTGGGAGGCAGAGGCAGGTGGATCTCTGTGAGTTGGAGGCCAGCCTGGTCTACAGAAGGAGTTCCAGAACAGCCAGGGCTGTTACACAGAGAAATCTTGTCTTGAAAAAAAAAAA